AATGTTGAATTCTCTCCAGCTGCTCTGTTCCCATGTAGTTGCAGTATATTAATGAATAACCTGTGGATGGATTATCTCAGTTGTTCTCCTGACTGAAGTTTGGTCCGTTTACAGCATCCTGCCATGCGATTGCATTTGTCCCTGACCACCAGGAACCCTTACATTAACTTTTATCAAGTGGAAAAAAGTTGGCGTTCATCCTCCAGCTTCACTGTGCTAATGTTATGCTAACATAGCTGTGTCGCTAGCTACCACATAGCACATCATTATATACCCGGTAGTCAAACTTCATTAACCCTACAAACGTTTCATTTATGTTGGAAGTGGTAGCAGAGCTGTACGTTTGCATTTTCTCAGAAATCGCAGTCAGACCATGCTATATCATGTTTAGGTGGAAACTAGCGAGCTAACTTCCTGCTAACTTCTAACTGCGTTAAATTTAATAGATTCCGTTTTCATGGATGTTAAACGTAATTGTTACACGTGGTAAAGCAGCAACGCTGATCATTTTATTACAGATGAAATAATTTAGACAGTTTTTAACTCTCAGTGATGCCGCAGTGTTCGTTTGACTTTGGGACCTGAAGCAGACGGAGTTTAGGACCCAGATTACTCCGCAAGGCTCCTGACGACGGTAGCTGTAATGCTGCGACAATCCATCAAGCAGTGCGGCTTCATAGCTACCAAAGTCTATAATTTTTGGACAGATTTCTGCGCGCCATGTAGCACATAAAATCGGTTCGAGGTCAGTAAGCACAACCAGAATTCATACATAAGGCAAACTGTCAATTTTTGAGAAAATTAAAGGATTTTAAGTGTGCCTTATAGTGTGTGAAATACGTTATACAGAAGAAAAGAATATATCGCGATGTATATATCGTTCCTGCACATGCTTCAAATTATACGGTGATATGGACTTTAGGGCATATCGTCCTAGTCTGCAGCTTTCTGTGTCCACATTGTCTTGCTGTTGTCGCCCTCACAAACATGCCAGAAATGGTGTCACGGCTGTTGCCGCTTGTTGCGCTCTGGTGTCATTTCAGCTTGTTACACGCACACTCTGGTGTGAGTGGCACATCTGTGTTTATTTTCATTTCAGTGACATGTATACATGAGCAAGTAGTATTACTATGAGATGCTGAAAGAAAAAAAAAACAGAAAAACCTTCACCATCACTTTCCTGCTCTTTGAAATGTCGAGGAAAAGTGCCGAGCATGTACAATGTGTGGACGTGGCCTCAGTAACAGTACCAATAGTTGAAGTGTTGAGAGGATGTTCAGGGTGAACATGTTTAATAACAGTTGCTTTTGTCTTTGGAACATTCAGTGTTTCTCAGGTGGGGAAAAAGGTTTGTTTCAGAGCTGTCAAAAAAATTTCAAAAAATGTTTATAGAATCAAGTAAGGAATTGTTTACTCAGAATTCCTCTCAGTGTGTGTGTGGTTAGGATAAACAGCCTGTGCTACTCCCTGCAAGACAAAGTTTACAGTCAAAACGCCCTCTGCTCAGGGCTTAACTGTGTCCTTCAGCACTCTCACATTTTGCTTAGTTTGAATTAAATTTTTTGTTTCTAATCATCATGTTAAATAATCCAGGTGAA